TGAGGTCTTTGTGGAAACAGATTACAATTTAGCATGAAAGTGCATATTCTGAGCCCTACTGAACAATCCATTTGGGACCCGCACAGACCTAGATGGGAACTTCTCCAACTTGAGCCTTTCCAGGAATTTGAGTGTGGGCAGGCCGCCAGCGGACACTGGCTACCCAGACACTTCAGCAATGTTCCATGTGCACTAGCTGCCATGGATATCAAAGTCCAGCTGTTCTCGCCAATCTCCTCTGTCCCCTTTATCTCCTCAGCCTTCAACACACAGACACATTCGTATGTACGTTACACACACGCATGGTGGGAGTGATGATCATCCAGTGTTTACTGCTGTTTTATACATCCTGCAAATTGTGATTGAAAACTCTCAAGTTCAATGAGAAAAGGAAATCTAGGAGTCGAGAATGACTTACAATCCAACAAAGTAAACGTGTAAATAATAAATGTTAAACAAAGCCACACCTAGGGATGCAAGCAGGATGGAAATGTGACTGTAGGATAGCAAGTGAAAATGAATTAACTTCATCCTCCACCTCATTCCTTTGGGCGGTCCTTTTGCCCTCTTCACTTTGCCCAAACAGTCCCCCTTCTATCATCGTGGTTGTAATTGAAATTATATTTAAAATATTAGGCCAAAGCTTACAACTCCTAAGTACCTAAGTAAAAAGCACCTAAGTAAAAAAGGGCTGATTTTTGCTTCAGTGGGTGCCTGGCATTTCTGAGGATCCTGTCGCTTGTCTATACGATAAGAGTTAGAAGAGTAACTTTTAAGTAGCCAGGTTTGAGAATTTTGGCCAATATTTACTTTTCACTTGAAATCTCCTTTCTATTATTATTTTGTAGTTTCCCTCTGTTAGCTTGTTTGTCTTCCATTCTCCAGAACCTGGACATTATGGGAAGCCCTTTTGTTGCCGCTGCTTAAGAGCAGAATTGTATGAAATATTTGCAAAAAAGCAAAACAAAACCATGTGAAATTCACCAGGTTTCAGATCTTATTACAAAGTCAATACCAGATTGATCACAAAAAGGTTTGCTAAGACTCCGGGACCTTTTAAATGACTTTGGGCTCATTTATGATTTTTCCCTCATAATCAGAAATCCATAATTTTTGCATAAATTCATTGCAAAAGCTCTTGATAATTGGCTGTTTTGATTGAATTTCGTTTTGCGCATCAGGGGTTTACTCAAACCCAAAACTCAGGTGTACAAACCTACGTAGGGGGAAGCATAACAAAAACTTTCCACAGAGTCCTGCAAAGTGAAACTACACTGAGGTATTTGTAACACTGCCTACAACAAATTCGAGGTGGCAAATCTGAAACTTCCTCAAAGTTCTGGAACTCTAGATCTGGGGTTTGGTTCAGCCTATTATACCCAGAGGGCCCAACCACTTCTCTTCCATATACAAGCTTCCCCAAATTGGAGTAGATTTAGACCTGAAGTTTTAGTTTAGTCTGTTGTACACAAAAGTGCCAGTTGTCAGTTTCAGATTTGAATCCAAACTTTACCTTTAATTCAGTGTATTTGGAGCTCGGGGGTTGGTTCAGGCCCATCTCGAGAACCGATCAAAGGACAGGCCAATCCTGTCAACTACACGAGTTCTGTCTGAGGTGGCTGTAAAAATGGAAGCAATACAAATGGATGTGTAAAACAGGTTCCACCCAGCGCCTCGATGCAGCTTCCTGAGTCAGGGAGAGCTTTTGCTTAACGTGCCAAAGTTTGATGCCCAGGATAGAACACTACAGTGAGCTAAAGTTAACTAACAGTGACTGCGCAAATGTAGCATGGCAATTTTATTTTTAGTTAAACTTAAAAATAAAAATCGATAAGTCAAATGTAATAGAATAATTTTAGCTGTTGCCAAAACAGACGGAGCAACTGTTATGAATAACGATAACAACAGTACAAATAAAGGGGCTGTTGATTCTTGCCTGTCCTTATCTAGCTAAAATTCCTACTGAGTCACAGTAGTAACAGATTTCCCTGGCTCATTGGCAAGTCCTTATAGCTGGGCATATCAACTGGTATTGTGCGTGGAACTGTTTCTGAAAAGGCACTCTCAAGAAATTATTTTTTTAAGCTTTGCATATGCTTTAATATAGTCACTTAAAAGCCATTTTTTTTCTTCTTCAAATTTTGTCCTTCTGCCTAACATCATCATCATCATCATAGGCACTTGTATAGGAAAACAGCTCAGGGTCTTAAAGAGTATTTAAAGAGATTTCAAGAATTAACAAAGCCTCTCAGGACTGTTGTACTATACCTGTTTTACAGATGGACAAATTGAGAGAGAGAATTTTTAAGTGAGTCATCCACAATCTGGCAGCAAATTAGTGTCAGCGCTCAGGTTGGAGTAAAACCCAGGAGTCCCCTGCTGTGGGCATTAGAGACCACGCTGTCCCTCGCAGCAGTATTTTTGCCTGGGTTTGGCAGAGAACTGAAGCTAATATAGTTGCTTTTGTTTAAGAACTCTAAAACCTACAAATAACTTGTCCACCTGCCAATGTCAGCTTAATTCTATCTAGCAGTAATTATTGCTATAAAAGCAGCAATGGAGAAGCACCACAGATAGTATTTGTGTAGGGGCTATGCAACTAGTGGTGGTGGTTGTTTATTTTGGATTTAAAATGTTCAGAAATGGAATAATCAACTTAAAAAGGAGACTGCCCCGGACCGTAGCATATTTAAAGATTTTTCCCCATAAGATTATAATATCTTGAAGGCACCTCAAATTTGGGCACATAAATCCAAATGATGGCCTTAAAGCGAGATTTAATCTCAGTCTGCCATGTCTCCAAAATATTATGCAAGAGTTATACAGCAGGTTTATTGTTCCATGCTTTGTACTAGAACCAAAGCAATGAAGGCAGGGGATATAAAAGAAATATTATTTGCTGTAAGATAAGAAAACTATTATTGATACGTAGTGTTCACATTTAATGTCTGTTACATCATCAGTTTCCACTAAGCAATCCTCTGACTTTGTGTGTGTCTCTCTCTCTCTCTCATAAGAAATGCGATTCTTGTTAAAAGTTCTGAGCGTGAGGCATAAGATTTCTGAACGCCCACCCTTGCATATCTTTAAAAAAACAACTTAGCAGTACAGATGCCAAGCAATGGCTGGAAGGGCGTGAGAAGAGTTTCATTTTCTGTAAAGTTTTAATTATAAAACAAGGCAAAGCAGGAGTTCATGATATCTGGGGGGAAATACTGTGACTATAAAAAAAAAAGTCAGGGATTAAACTGGTGTGACATTATTTTCTTTAGAGAGACAAGGTGGGTGAGGTAATATCTTTTATTGGACCAACTATTGTTTGTGAGAGAAACAAGCTTTCGAGCCACACAGAGCTCTTCTTCAGGTCTGGGGAAGGAACATCAAGCCTCACAGCGAGGAGTGGAACAGATTGTTTAGCATAAGTAGTTAGCACATATTGTACGGGACCAGTCAAAATAGAGTGGGCCGTTAACACCTCTGCAGTCACCGGACAAAAAGGGGGGTTAGTGGGTTACAGATTGTTTTAATACGCCATAAATCCAGTGTCTCTGTTCAATCCATGATTTTTAGTGTCTAGCAGAATAATGAATTATTGAGTATTTTCTTTACCACGTAATGAAAGAATTAGAGAGACTTTGTTCCCTATATCAAGGATGGCAAAAATAATCTTCTAGCTAGGGCAGAGGGAAGAGATGACATTTTGCTCAAACCCTATATAAAATCATGAGCCTTTGGGTTTCTGTTATCTCTGCTCTAAAGATGGGCGCAAATCAAAATCCCACACCCTGCAACTTTGGTGAGTTCAGATTGGCATCCAGGTTTGCTGGTGGCCTCCATTCTGTCTTAACAGGAAGGGACAGACTGATACATCTCTGAACTCTGGGAACATTCAGACCCGAATTCTGATCTGTACTTTGCTGCTCTGCTTCTTGGCTATGAAATCCTCAACTCAAGCTGTGGCCTCCTAGGAAGAATATTTAATCTGCTTCTTGTTAGAGAGCAATTCCCATTGACTTTGTAAATGCTCTGTCCCTGCACTACTGGAAATCTGTTTGTTACATACAGCAGCTGTGCCTCATAGTTCATTGGTTGCTAGGAAACAAGGGAATATGATCTAGTAGGAGCTATGTCTAGGGTCATCATCATGGTGTATAGTTTTAAAGGCGTTGGTACAGTTTAACCTGTGCAGGCAGATATGCAGCAACCAATCATTTTTCCAGAGTAAAGATCTACATGGTCACTTTCCTCTGAGTGGCCAATAGCAGAGGGGGCTCAAAAAGCACCAGAAACCTCATGAGAAATCTGGCTCCCAGCCATCTTTGGCTTTATGCTACTGCTGTAAATAAATGGCTTGACTGAGGTTTAATGCCAGACTAGTAGATGAAGGGCACTTGTGTCTCATTGTAATGAGCTGTGGCATGAGGGGAGAGAAAAAAGGTAACTGCTGTGTTTGCTGTGCAGACCGAAGCGAAATGAAGTCACTGTTGGTGACTCAGAGGCATAAGAGTTCAGAAGTAATGCACCTTACTTATACACTGCTAACAGCTACTTGTTGCTAATGTAAATATTTTCCATGTGAGTTCTTCAGATCTCCCTGTCATATAGCACGTGAGATAATGCAGTGATCCCATGCTGTACAACACACTCTGGTGGATCATACAATCGTTTGTGGGGGTTGGAGGGTGAGAGAGGAGAATGAAATATATATTTTGAAAACACAAGGCTTTTTCACAGAAGAAGAAAGAAGGAGCCTCCGGGTGTTAAGAAATAAGTTACCACTGTTAACTGTTGAAAATTATGTACTTTGAGTTTTGATTTGTCTTAATCATTTTCATGATGTGTTAATTGATATGTCCAGTGTTTAGCTGCTTTTACAGTATAGCAATAAACGGATCCTTGGAGTGCATGCAGCACTAAAGGTCTGGTCTTAATTTTGTAGAGCATTTTTTTCCCCCAGTGCTAATACCTTGATTTCCCTTTCCCCCTCTTTCTCGTTCCAGAATCCAGAGCAGCTGCTGGAGCATTGTGCTCACAGGGAGATGATTCCTCATGAAGTCACTGGATCCCCTTCAGAAATCAAATGTGACTTTCCATTTATCAGACTGAAATCAGAACCAGCCAGACAGTGAAGCAAGAACAGTGGAGGGGGGACGGCGAAAGATGAAATCCAACCAAGAGAGGAGCAATGAATGCCTGCCGCCCAAAAAGCGAGAAATCCCCACCACCAGCCTGCCCTCCGAGGTGAAGCCAGTGGTCCTGCCGAACGAAAACCACCGCACGGACAACTTAACATGGCTCTCCAGTACGCCCAGCAGCCAGAGCAGCATGGGTGGAAGGCACCGGACTGGAGGGAGTTCAATGGAGATTGGCTTGCAGCAGGGTTTACACAAAGCACCGTCTACAGGAATGGACTATTCCCCACCGAGTGCTCCCAGGTCCGTTCCAGTCTCAACAACACTTCCCACAGTGTACTCGCCCGCACTCTCACAGTCAGGGACGCCTGTATCCCCGGTGCAGTACACGCACCTGCAGCACACTTTCCAGTTCGTTGGGCCCCAGTACAGTGGACCATACGCCGGATTCATCCCCTCCCAGTTGATTTCCCCGACAGCCAATTCCGCAACTTGTGCGGCAGCCTCTGCCACTGCTGTTGCAACCACTCCATCCCAGCGTTCCCAGCTGGAGGCTTATTCCACTTTCCTGGCCAGCATGAGCAGCTTAAGTCAGCAGGGGCACAAAGTTGAGCAGCATCTAGTCAGGACACCTGGATTGATTGCAGCAGGGTCTCCTCCACCGACCCAGCAAAACCAGTATGTCCACATTTCCAGCTCTCCCCAGAGCGCGGTCAGAAATGTCTCTCCTCCGACCATCCCAGTCCACTTGCATCCCCACCAAACGGCGATTCCACACACCCTCACCCTCGGCCCCTCCTCCCAAGTGGTGGTGCAGTACTCGGACTCCGGGGGCCACTTTGTCACGAGGGATTCTACCAAGAAAGCCGAGAGCAGCAGGCTGCAGGCAATGCAGGCGAAGGAAATACTGAATGGCGAGATCGAGAAAAGCAGGAGGTACGGCCTGTCGCCCTCTGGAGATGTGAGTCTAGTCAAAGCAGGCAATAAACCAGCTCCTCCTCATTATGAGACCAGACATGTGGTGGTGCACTCAAGTCCTGCTGAGTACAGTGCACGGGATTCCTCCGGCATCAGGGCCTCTGTTATGGTTGTACCGAACAGCAGCACACCTATTACGGAGATGGAGGTACAGCAGGCCACCAACAGAGAAACTCCTCCCTCAGTCCTGAACGACAAGGGAAACCTGCATTTGGGAAAGCCAGCCCACAGGTCTTATGCTTTATCTCCGCAACAGACTATGGGCCACGAGGGGGTGAAAGCGGTCGCCACGCTGTCCCCCCACACTGTCATTCAGACCACCCACAGCGCCTCAGAGCAACTCCCTGTCGGGCTGCCTGCGACAGCCTTCTATGCCGGGACCCAGCCACCGGTAATTGGCTATCTGAGCAGTCAGCAGCAAGCAATTGGTTACCCTGGAAACCTGCCACAGCACCTGGTGATCCCTGGCACCCAGCCCCTGCTTATACCAGTTGGCAATGCAGACGTTGAATCATCAGGAGTAGCACCTGCTATAGTCACTTCATCTCCCCAGTTTGCAGCAGTGCCTCATACATTTGTCACTACCACCATTCCTAAGAGTGAGAATTTCAGTGCTGAGTCGCTAGCAACCCAGCCGGCCTACCAGGCAGCCGTGGTGCAGGCCCAGATCCACCTCCCGGTGGTGCAGTCCGTAGCTTCTCCAGCCGCAGCTCCTCCTACACTGCCTCCTTACTTCATGAAAGGGTCAATCATTCAGTTGGCCAATGGGGAGCTGAAGAAAGTAGAAGACTTAAAAACAGAAGACTTTATACAGAGTGCAGAAATTAGCAATGACCTGAAAATAGACTCCAGCACAGTGGAGAGGATTGAAGACAGCCATAACCCAGGCATTGCTGTGATACAGTTTGCAGTTGGAGAGCATCGAGCACAGGTAATGAGCATTGCAAATTGTGGGCGTAGGTGGAAAGATACCAATTCTATCTTCCTGGAAACAACTTACCTTATGGCGCCTTCCAAGAGGGAGTTGTGTTCTTAGTTCTTCATCTGGCGCACACCTAACAGCGCATGCCACGTTAGAGATCTCACTGGCCCAAAGTCACCCCGGTACGGTGCCAGTGAAGTTATAGCAGTAATAAATCAGGCCCATTTTATGCAATGGTAGATCTTGTTTTGGGAAACTGCAGGACCTGATTCTCCTCTCACTACCAGTTTAAACTCAGTTTAAGTCAGTGAAGTTACACCAGAGTAACGCTGGGGAAAGAGGAGAATCATCTTATGGTTTGACTATGCCTGGGGGAAGGAATCATTTGTGTACTTGTTTCAAATTGTTAGCTCAACAACCCAGATCATATTGCAAATCTGTAGGCATTAGTACTATTACTTCTTTGTATTAGGATAATGCCACATGGTCCCAACCAACATTCAGAGCTGCATTGCACATAGTAAAAGAATGGTCCCCGGTCTGAATAGTGTGCAATCTAAATAGAAAGGATAGACAAAAGGCGGCAGAGGAAGCAGAAGCACAGAAGGGATTTGCCCAAGGTCACAAAGCAGGTCAGTGCCAGACGCAGGAATAGAATCCAGGTCTCTGAGTGTCTAGTCCATTGCCCTATGCACTGGGACTGTAGGCAGTGATATTATTGAGAGCAGGCCCCATTGTACCTTCTAACCAAAGAAAGGATCAAATCTGAGCCATGATCCTAGTGGTATTAAAAGGTAAAATTACTCAGTTTAAACCTCAAAAAGCATATGCTTTTCAATCTGACAGCTGAGTTTTAGTTTTGACTGATTCCTGCTTCAGAAGGCTCCAGTACCATTCAGTCTCAAATGAAAAACTGTCTCTGAGGGGTAAAGAGGGGACAAGGCTGTGAATTTCCATGGCTTGAAACGTGGCGCTTTCTTGGAATGCTTTCGCTCACACATTGAAGGCACTGAAACGCTACACAGAGTGTCATTCAGATTTTGGTTATGAGTGGTTGAAGTGCTGCAGAGCTCTCATGCTGTGTGTGTTCAAGGGAAATGTTAAAAGAAAAATCATCCCAGAACCTAGGCTACCCACACTTCTTCACTTTGCGTCATACTGGCTTGCATTGTAAAGAAGGAAATTGTAACTTTGCAACGGGCCTTTCGGACCCAGAGTTCAATGGTCATAAGCCGTTAATTTGATACTGTCCACTATCCAAGTAGCTCAGATTCCGCAGTGATGAGCAGGGGAATAGATTAGATCAATTAGATAGCAGTTTAGTTCAGAGAAGTATTTGGGCTATTTTTTGAAAAGCAAAACAAATCTCAGTGTAAGTGGTTTAGATTTGGTTTTAAATATTTCTCTGCGGTGTTCAGAACCCAGACGCTGCACAATGGTGGCTGGTCCGTGAGCATCACAAAGAGAGAGATGGACCAGAAACTAACTGGTTTAGTACAGTATTGCTTTCCAAAATGAGTGAGCTGTAGAAGGGAAACAAACAACATCATTGTTGAGGAGTAGATTAGAGCTCTGAAATTCTTTTGGTTTTAACAATCCAAGGCCTGTGCTTCCATAACTGCCTGCGTACAAGCGGGTTCCTATATATGATCCGCCACTCAGGTAACTGAGCATGCAAATTAGGTGTTCAGTTGTGTTCCCATTTATGCATTGGGGCTTCTGGTATTATCAGTAATCCATATAAGGAGGTGAGTATATTGTTTTTTATTATATATGTTTTTATATTAACAGTATCACTTTAAGAGACATAAGGAGGATCCACAGAATTGCTTTTCGTTTACAGACTTCAAATCCCCAGTGATATCATTGCAGTGTAGGCTTAGAGCCTCACATCTCTTCTTCGGCTTCATGATCAGAAAAACAGTCCCTGGATCAGAACCGGTTATTATAATTTGTTTATAAATTGTTGCTTAGAATAATGAGATTTCAAAGATAGTAATTTCCCATCTGCAATTTTCATCTTGCTCTCATTTCTCTCCCTCTCCAGCCAGACCACTGGTCTCTGCACCAGCAGAAGAGGTACAAATTAGTAGATAGCATTTATGTTATGTCTTGTTCACAGATATGTCAGTGTAGCCAATGTGTTGTAATGCTGCACACTGAGAAGAGCTCCCTTGCAGAAGGATAGAGTGCCATCATCTGGTAGAAACCATATTCAGTTGCTGGCTATAAAAACAAAACTGCAAGGCACAGTCTCATCCAGTGAAGTGTCAACTTCTCAAGAAGCCTATAAGAATCCGGCTGACGACATTCCAGTTAAAATACTCCACCAGCTGTGTTTCCCACAAGGGATGCTTCCAGAATTCAGAAAGAGTCACGTAGAGATAAGATTAAAATGTGGGTTTAATTTAGGTTTCCTGTAGATTCCAGAACTTGGGTCTCTTCCCAGATCAGCCGTTTCCCAATATAGCAGCAAGTAATTCTCTGATTTGAATTTGCCTGGTTAGGGAGATGTTTCATCTCAGTGTGTCTGAAGTCTCTGATGACCTCATCCACAGTGTAACTTAGGGTATGTCTACACTACGAAATTAGGTCGAATTTATAGAAGCCAGTTTTATAGAAATCGGTTGTATACAGCCGATTGTGTGTGTCCCCACATAAAATGCTCTAAGTGCATTAAGTTGGCGGACCGCGTCCACAGTACCGAGGCTAGCGTCGACTTCCGGAGCGTTGCACTGTGGGTAGCTATCCCACAGTTCCCGCAGTCTCCGCCGCCCATTGGAATTCTGGGTTGAGATCCCAATGCCTGAATGATGCAAAACAGTGTCGCGGGGGGTTCTGGGTACATGTCGTCAGGCACCTCCCCCTCCATCAGAGCAACGGTAGACAATCGATTCGCGCCTTTTTACCTGGGTTACCTGTGCAGACAACATACCACGTCAAGCATGGAGCCCGCTCAGCTCAGCTCACCGTCACCATATGTCCTCTGGGTGCCGGCAGACGTGGTACTGCATTGCTACACAGCAGCAGCTAATTGCCTTTTGGCAGTAGACGGTGCAGTATGACTGGTAGCCTTCATAGGCGATCTGGGGGCTGGCAGACGTGGGGCTGCATTGCACACAGCAGCAGCCCCTTGCCTTTTGGTAGAAGATGGTATATTACGACTGGTATCCATCGTCATCGTACTGCAGTGGCTGTCAATCATGGGCACCTGGGCAGACATGCTCAGTCCTATCGAACTGTCTTGATGATGATGGTAATCAATCGTATTTTCTGCCAAGTGCCCAGTATTTTCTGCCAAGCACCCAGAAGATGCCGAGGGCTATCAGTCATGCTGCACCATCGTCTGCCAGCTTAAGATGTAAAAAATAGATTTGTTCTTTATTCATTTGCTTCCCCCTCCCTCCGTGAAATCAACGGCCTGCTAAACCGAGGGTTTTGAGTTCAATCTTTGGGGGGGGCCATTCTGTGTGACAGTTGTTTGTGTTTCTCCCTGATGCACAGCCACCTTTGTTGATTTTAATTCCCTGTACCTGTACGCCATGTCGTCACTCGCCCCTCCCTCCCTCCGTCCGTCAGATACTAGTTTCGCGCCTTTTTTCAGACCAGACGCCGTAGCTAGCACTGGGATCATGGAGCCCGCTCAGATCACTGTGGCAATTATGAGCACTATGAACACCACGCACATTGTCCTGGAGTATATGCAGAGCCAGGACATGCCAAAGCAAAACCAGGACCAGCCGAGGAGGCGATTGCAGCGCGGCGACGAGAGTGATGAGGAAATTGACATGGACATAGACCTCTCACAAGGCACAGGCCCCAGCAATGTGGAAATCATGGTGTTACTGGGGCAGGTTCATGCTGTGGAACGCCGATTCTGGGCCCGGGAAACAAGCACAGACTGGTGGGACCGCATCGTGCTGCAGGTGTGGGACGATTCCCAGTGGCTGCGAAACTTTCGCATGCTTAAGGGCACTTTCATGGAACTTTGTGACTTGCTTTCCCCTGCCCTGAAGCGCCAGAATACCAGGATGAGAGCAGCCCTCACAGTTGAGAAGCGAGTGCGATAGCCCTGTGGAAGCTTGGAACGCCAGACAGCTACCGGTCAGTCGGGAATCAATTTGGAGTGGGCAAATCTACTGTGGGGGCTGCTGTGATCCAAGTTGCCAGGGCAATGAAAGACCTGGTGATATCAAGGGTAGTGACTCTGGGAAACGTGCAGGCCATAGTGGATGGCTTTGCTGCAGTGGGATTCCCAAACTGTGGCGGGGCCATAGACGGAACCCATATCCCTATCTTGTCACCGGAGCACCAAGCCACCGAGTACATAAACCGCAAGGGGTACTTTTCAATGCTGCTGCAAGCCCTGGTGGATCACAAGGGACGTTTCACCAACATCAACGTGGGATGGCCGGGAAAGGTACATGATGCTCGCGTCTTCAGGCACTCTGGTCTGTTTCGAAAGCGGGAGGAAGGGATTTTCTTCCCAGACCAGAAAATAACCGTTGGGGATGTTGAAATGCCTATCGTGATCCTTGGGGACCCAGCCTACCCCTTAATGCCATGGCTCATGAAGCCGTACACAGGCAGCCTGGACAGTAGTCAGGACCTGTTCAACTACAGGCTGAGCAAGTGCCGAATGGTGGTGGAATGTGCATTTGGACGTTTAAAAGCGCGCTGGCGCAGCTTACTGACTCGCTCAGACCTCAGCGAAAAGAATATCCCCATTGTTATTGCTGCTTGCTGTGCGCTCCACAATATCTGTGAGAGTAAGGGGGAGACATTTATGGCGGGGTGGGAGGTTGAGGCAAATCGCCTGGCTGCTGATTACGCGCAGCCAGACACCAGGGCGGTTAGAAGAGCACAGCAGGGCGTGGTGCACATCAGAGAAGCTTTGAAAACGAGTTTTGTGACTGGCCAGGCTACGGTGTGAAACTTCTGTTTGTTTCTCCTTGATGAACCCTCCGCACCCCACCCCACCTGGTTCACTCTACTTCCCTGTAAACCAA